TTTTTGTATTTTGGTAGAGACGGGGTTTCTCCATGTTTGTCAGGCTGGTCTCAAACTCCTGACCACAGGTGATCCGCCCACCTCAGCCTCCCGAAGTGCTGGGATTACAGGTGTGAGCCACCGCGCCCGGCCAAAGCCCGGGGTTTTTGTCTCTTGTTCACAGCTGTATCTCCAGCTCTTAGAATAGTGCCTGGAACAAAGTAGGAGCTCCAAGTATATTTTCGGAGTGATGAATGACTACCCACGCTTATTAAGCCCTTGCTCTGTGTGAGGGACTTCCGTAAACACTCTAATGCCTTACTCGGCTCCTCTCATCTTCATAACTACCCTTCGAGGTGATACAATTATTTCTATTTTCTAGAACGCTGGGTGTCAGAGAAGTTAAATCCCTTCCCAAGGTCGTATTATTTTTTCTTGGCAGGGCAGAGCAGAGCAGAGTCTGGCTTCAAGGCCTTAGCCATTACCTACACAAAATGAGCTGTGCTCAGGTGGAGGAGGAGAAGGCAGAGAGGGATAAAACAGCCGGGCGCGGTGGCTCATGGCTGTAATCCCAGCACTTTGGGAGGATGAGGCGGGTGGATCACGAGGTCAAGAAATCGAGACCATCCTGGTCCACACGGTGAAACCCCATCTCTACTAAAAATACAAAAAATTAGCTGGGCACGGTGGCGTGTGCCTGTAATCCCAGCTACTCAAGAGGCTGAGGCAGGAAAATTGCCTGAACCCAGGAGGCGGAGGTTGTGGTGAGCTGAGATCGCGCCATTGCACTCCAGCCTGGGTAACAAGAGTGAAACTCTGTCTCAAAAAAAAAAAAAAGAAAAGAAAACAGAAAACCTCTGGAGGAAACTGGCTAGCACTCTAGCCCAGCACTGTCCAGTAGGACCTTCTTCGATGAAGGATGAGCTCTGTACCTGCACTGTTCAGTACAGTAGCCACCAGCAACAATACGGCTGCTGAGCACTTGAAATGTGACTAATGCAACTAAGAAACTAAATGTTTTTATTTGATTTCATTTAAATGAATTTAATTTTTTTGGAGACAGGGTCTCCTGTCGCCAAGACTGGAGTTCGGTCATGCAAACATGGCTCCAGGCTGCCTGGGCGCAAGTGATTCTCCCACCTCCGCCTTCTGAGTAGCAGGAACCACAGGCTCATGTCACTGTGCCCAGCTAATTGATTGAATCTTTTTGTAGAGACAGAATCTCACCCTGTTGCCCAGGCTGGTCTCCAACTCCTGAGCTCAAGAGATCCTCCCACCTCAGCCTCCCAAAGTGCTGGGATTACAGGCGTGAGTCACTGCGCTGGCGTAACTTAAATTTAAATAGCTACACGTGGCTGGTGGCTACCGTATTAGAGAGCACAGCTTCTATCCAGACTAGATTCAGTGACTGCAAACGCTTTTGCTTGCTGGGTCTGTGGCTTCCAGGCCTGGTGGGACAGGGATTCAGGACAGCGGGGAAGGGAGTGTGTATTTACAGCAGTGAGCACTTAGGTTAGGTTGAATAATCTACAAATACCCAGTGAGGGGAGTATCTGTTTACTCCAGCTGCTGAGGGCTGGAGATGAGGGTCAGGGTCAGGGTCAGAGTGCCTGCTGCCTTGGGATCTTGGTCCACAGTCAGAGGAGCTTCCTCTCTCTAACCACCCCCGACCCCACACCAGACGATCTTATTCATGGGTAGTCGGTACCCAGTGGCTGGGTCAGAGTCCGGGGCTTCTCAGTCCTTACACGTGACCATTTTCAGGCTTCTTTTATGGTGGAGTCTGCATAGCTGATCCTACGCAGGCCTCACCAGCTGGACACGGACTCATGAAATGTTTGCTGCAGTGAATAAACGAGCAACGAGCCAAAGCAAGAAGAGATTTCTGGCAACAGAGAGCCCGGTGCGGGAGGGCCTTCATTCCATTCCTCAGTGACACCATTTAGGGAGCCGTCCTCAAACCTGGCAGTGCCTAAGAATCACCAGGGGCGGGCCGGGCACGGTGGCTTATGCCTGTAATTCCAGCACTTTGGGAGGTGGAGGCAGGCGGATCACGAGGTCAAGAGATTGAGACCATCCTCGCCATGATGAAACCCCGTCTCTACTAAAAATACAAAAATTAGCCAGGTGTGGTGGCACGCGCCTGTAGCCCCAGCTGCTTGGGAGGCTGAGGCAGAAGAATCGCTTGAACCCAGGAGGCGGAGGTTGCAGTGAGCCGAGATTGCGCCACTGCACTCCAGACTGGCTACAGAGCAAGACTCCGTCTCAAAACAAACAAACAACAACAACAAAAAAGAATCACCAGGAGTATTTTGCGTAAAAGGACATGCCCCAGGCCTCACTCCCAGGTGTTTTTATTTCATAAATCTGGGTTGGGGCTCAAGAATCATCATGTTTACCAAGCCCTCCCACGCAACACACACACCAAATCTGATGCTAGACTTAGAACTAAGCTTTTAAGAGATATTGATTTAGGGGCCGGGTGCGGTGGCTCACACCTATAATCCCCAGCAATTGGGAGGCCGAGGCGGGTGGATCACGAGGTCAAGAGATCGAGACCATCCTGGTCAACAAGATGAAACCCCATCTCTACTAAAAATACAAAAATTAGCTGGGCATGGTGGTGCGCGCCTGTAGTCCCAGCTACTTGGGAGGCTGAGGCAGGAGAATTGCTTGAACCCAGGAGGCGGAGGTTACGGTGAGCCGAGATTGCGCCATTGCACTCCAGTCTGGGTAACAACAGCGAAACTCCGTCTCAAAAAAAAAAAAAAATTGATTTAGGATGAGGCCAGGCATGCATGTGGGTACTGGGGGCAGGGAGAGGTCGCCCTAGAAGGAAATTCAGAAGGTCTCTGAGATACTTAAAGGTATGCGTACTTCTGTTGTGTATTTTCTTGCATTGCAGTAGGAAGAGGGAACGGAGTCACCCAAGTCCAGCCTTTCAGCACCAGAGTGTTAGTGCTGGGAGAAGCCTAAGTCCCAGTTCGTCCAGGCCCTTAAGCAAGGAGCACACCTGAGGGGTCCTGGCAGCCCCAGGGTGTGCGGGCAGCGGCTGATCCCCAGGAAAACAGACTTCTGGGCTCTAAGAAAGAGCCCTGCAGGCCATGCCTGCTGTGCCTGCGGATTTCCCCTCTCAGCCAACCCCAGCCTCTGCTCCCCCTCTGCTCCTCACTTCTCTAAAGCGAAACATCTCACAGTCATTTGCTCCATGCTTCCTGTACGATTTCTTTATTTTTACTCTCCAGTTTGTGGGCTGAGTCTGTGTGGGTGTGGGAGAGGAGCTGGGGAACTTCTGCTTCTCTGCGTTTTCCTTCTGAGCTGGGAGGACTTTCACTTCCTCCCCAGACTCTCAGTTCTGCCTTTCATGGGCTGTCCAGGCCCTGAGGCCACCTTGCCCATCCTTCCTCAGCAGCGGGGAAATGAAAAACTGACCGAAACTGCCTGCCCACGAAGGGCCTAGCATCCACGAGGGAGCAACAGGTGGTGGCAACTACAGCAGTAACTTCCCTGGGGCAGGAGCCCCAGACTGGCGCGAGCAGCAACAGAGGCAGACAAGGGAGCCCTGCTCGCTCCTGAGGCCAGCTGAGGCCTGGAACCTGTCTTGCCTCCCTCTGACACCACCGTGGGCAAGCCTGGGCCTCCACTTCCCTCCGTCAGCCTCTTCTGCCCCAGCACTCGGCCAGACAAGAGTGACTCGCAGCTTGCCCCAGTGCCCCCAGCTCTACCTGGTGATCTTTGAGAGTCTTAGCAATCTACCACACTGGAGCACAGAGCCATGGGAGGGGTCGGCCTCCACCGCGGGGGCCTGTCAACCTCCATCCCAACCTCCCTGAACCTCAGCTCCTCTTTCAGACAAAATTATATGTAGATACAGTGGAGGATTAGAAAACACTGAATGGAGGCCTCAATCAACAGTGGCTGTTGCAGGCAGGAGTTATAAATGTGTATTGAAAAAGGAATTGCTTCCTTTTTTCTTCCAGTCATAAGGACCACAACCATCCAAAAAGCAAAGAGAGCCACAGACTCCAGCTCAGCCTCTAGCTGCAGAAAGTCACCTCCAGGGAGAGATCATAGTGTTCACCTAGGGCTGGAGTGCAGAGTGATCTAGTGGTTGAAGATCAGAGCCTTCAGCCTCCCCAGCCATCTGCTTAGTTTTCTGCTGTGTCCTCAAAGAAGCACTCAGACCCTAAAATAAACCTCTGGAGTTGCCCAGCTCCTCCAGAAGAGAGACTAGACACACAGCTGGGCATTCGGCCAGAGCCCAAGAAAAGCCTGGCTTGCCAGGGGCAGATTACAGTCATCAGGAGCAACAAGTGCCCTGCCCTCTCCCTCACCGCTCCTTCTCTTATCTGGAGGGGAAGCCAGCACGTGCCAGCCCCAGGAGATCTCAGTCCCTTGCCAGACTTCCGACTCAATTCCCAGGACTGGGGCACTGGGCTTCCCAGAGCTGGTGGCCGCTGAAGCGAGCCCCTGCGGCGGGAGGATCTGTGACTCAGCGCCCATGATGTCAGTCCCTTCATAGTCAGGGCACTGTCATCCACACATGCACCCGCGGGGGTGGCGGGAGAACTAGGCGAGGTGGACCCGCAATGCAGAGGGAGAAGAAAGGCGCTGGTACGAAGGACTCCCCAGGCGGGAACACCACCCCGCTGGGGCTCGCCCTCTCGGGCCGTCTCCCCTTAGAGTAGCCTGGGACGCGGTTGTGTAAAGGCTCATGGGGGCACTGGGAGGGAGACTCGAGAGTCAAGTCCTAAACACAGACCGTAGGGAGCTTCCCGCACAGCTTCCCGGGACCTTCGGCGGAGAGCTCCGGGCCAACTGATCAGGGCGCAGCAGAGGGCGTAAGAGCGACTGCCCGTGACCACACAGCTAGGTGCCCGCGGGAACTCAAGGCAGCCACACAAAAGGGGAGCCGTCGCACCTCCTTTCCTCCCTCCGGCCTCCCCCAGGCTGCGGTGGCCACAGCGGTTTCCCTCAGCCGCCAGCTGCCCCAGCCCTCCAGGTGCGCCCGAATCTCTTACCCAGCGCAGGACAGCCCCCCGGAGCCAGCGCCGCCCCCGGCGCGGCCAGCAGGGCAGCCAACAGCGCGCAGCCGACGGCCAGCATGCTTCCTCCTCGGTTACCGCTCCATGGTCCCGCAGAGGCGGGCGGGCTGGTGGGCACCGGGTGGCAGGGGCGGGGCGGCGGGCGCGCAGGCGGGCTCAGGCACCCCGGGAGCCCCGCGCTCTGCACACACTGCGAGTCCCTCGGCCCCGCGCCGCGCTCGGCTCCGCTCCCTCTGGCCGGACTCGGTGTCAGTGCGACTTCCCACTCGCACATGACTCAGAGCAGCGGACGGTCTAGGCAACGCAGGAAAACATTTGAGGAACTCGCGATGGAGCTTCTAAAGGCCGTCCCAGGGTGCGGTTACGAAAGCTGGAGCGGATGGCGCAACAGCCCCGCGCACCGGCCGACAGAGGGGATGGCTTCCTGCCACTGCGCGGCACCTGAGTAGTGAGGGAAGGGGGCTGCCAGCCCCACCAGGGCCCCTCCTGTCGGTTCTGTTAATGAGGAAAGGGCGTATCCGCCACCAGTGGGCAGCGGCTTGTTTTTGACTTTGGGTTTCGTGAACAGGTTTACGAAACCTTTCGTGAAAGTCACACCTGGAGAGCCCTCGAGGAGGCGATGTGGCTCTTAGCCTACAGTAAAAGCAGTGCTTGGTAGCCCGGCTGCCCGCTGGAATCAGCCGGGAACCCTAAAAACCACCGACGTTCGGATCCCCGAGGATTCTGATTTCATCGGTCTGGGGTGAGGCTTGGGCATTGGAAGACTCATCGTAAAGGCACAGTCTCTCTGCCCAGCTGCTCCTCGCAGGCTACAGCGGAGGCAAGGAAACGGTTTGGACTTTGCAGTAAGATGGACCTGGGTTCCCATTTAGACCTACCACCTCTGTGTCTGTGTCTTCTGTTCAGAATCTGAGTCTCCATTTCCTCATTTGTCACAGATAAGAAAGCCTATGCTGGTCAGGGTTATTAGGAAGGTTCTGTGGATGGCACCTCAACACCCGACACGGAATCTGGGCCACAGGTGCTCGGAAGCCTTAAGAACATGCGTGACTGCCCTCCTGACTTGACAGACAGAAACCGACACTAGGGGCAGTGGCTCACGCCTGTAACCCCAGCACTCTGAGAGGCCGGGTGGGTGGCCTGCTTCAGTCCAGGAATTCCCGACCAGCCTGGGCAACAAAGAGTGAGACCCCCAACTCTAAAAAAAAAAAAAATTTTAATTAGCTGGGTGTGGTAGTGGGTGCCTGTAGTCCCAGCTACTCAGGAGGCTGAGGCAGGAGAATCACTTGAACCTGAAGGTTGCAGTGAGCCGAGATCGCACCACTGCATTCCAGCTTGGGCGACAGAGCAAGACTCTGTCTCAAAATAAATAAATAAATAAAAAGCATCACAATTAAAATTAAACATAGAGTTGTCTTATAATCTAGCCGTTTCTCTTCTGTATATAGTCACAAAAAAATTGAAAGTAGGGACTTGAGCAGTTATCTGTACACCCACATTTGTAGCAGCGTTATTTACAACAGCTAAAAAGTAGAAACAAAAGTCCATCAAGAGATGAATGGATGAACAAAATATGGTATGTATTTATATGCAATCGAATATTAGTCTTAAAAAGGAAGGAAATTCTGACATATGCTACAGCATGATAAACCTTGAAGACATTATGCTAAGTGAAATAAACCGCACACAAAAGGACAAATAGAGTATTCAAATTAATAGAGATAGGAAGCAGAGCGGTAGCTGCCAGGGGTTAGCAGGAGGAGAGTGGGAAGTTACTGTTTACTGGGTACAGAGCTTCCGCTTTTGCAAGATGAAGAGTTCTGGAGATGGATAGTGGTTACAGTTTCACAATAATGTGAATGCGCTTGATGCCCTGAACCATTTAAAAATGGTGCTGGGCGCGGTGGCGCGTGCCTGTAGTCCCGGCTACTCGGGAGGCTGAGGTGGGAGGATCGCTTGAGTCCAGCAGTTCTGGGCTGTAGTGCGCTGTGCCGATCGGGTATCTGCACTAAGTTCGGTATCAATATGGTGACCTCCCGGGACCACCAGGTTGCCTAAGGAGGGGTGAACCGGCCCGGGTTGGAAACGGAGCAGGTCAAAACTTCCGCGCTGATCAGTAGCGGGATGGCGCCTGTGACTAGCCACTGCACTCCAGCCTGGGCAACATAGCGAGACCTCATCTCTAAAAATAAAATAATAATAAAAATTTTAAAAATTAAAAAAATAAAAATAATTAAAATGCCCAAGTGGAAAACAAAATGCCCAAGTAAGGGTGATTGCTTGAGGCCAGGAGTTCGAGACTAGCCTGGTCAACATAGCAAGACCCTATCTCTACAAAAAATCTAAAAATTAGCCATGCATGGTGAGGCACATCTGTAGTGCCAGCTACTTGAAAGGATAGCTTGAGGCTAGGAGTTCAAGGCTGCAGCCTTGAGCTGTGATGGCACCACCAGACTCCAGCCCGGGGACAGATAAAGACCTTCCTTATCGCTAATTTAAATTAATAAATAAAAAGTTAAAATGAGAAATTTCATGTTATGTATATTTCACCACATTTTTAATAAAGTATTGAAATTATAAAATTAAACAAGCTAGATGCATGAAAATCCAGAAAACAGGTTGCATTATTGAGGGGGTGAGGAAGGGAAGAAACTCATACTTCTTTTTTTTTTTTTTCTTTTTTTGAGACGGAGTTTCGCTCTTGTTACCCAGGCTGCAGTGCAATGGCGCGATCTCAGCTCACCGCAACCTCCGCCTTCTGGGTTCAGGCAATTCTCCTGCCTCAGCCTCCTGAGTAGCTGGGATTACAGGCACGCGCCGCCATGCCCAGCTAATTTTTTGTATTTTTAGTAGAGATGGGGTTTCACCATGTTGACCAGGATGGTCTCGATCTGTTGTCCTCGTGATCCACCCGCCTCGGCCTCCCAAAGTACCAGGATTATAGGCGTGAGCCACCGTGCTCAGCCATATATAAATTTTTTTGAGGCAGAGTCTTGCTCTGCTGCCCAGGCTGCAATGCAGAGGTGAAATCTTGGCTCACCACAATCTCTGCCTCCCAGATTCAAGTGATTCTCCTGCATTATTATTTTATTTGTTTGTTTGTTTATTTATTTTGAGATGGAGTTTTGCTCTTGTTACCCAGGCTGGAGTGCAATGGCACGATCTCAGCTCACCACAACCTCCGCCTCCTGGGTTCAGGCAATTCTCTTGCCTCAGCCTCCTGAGTAGCTGGGATTACAGGCACGCGCCGCCATGCCCAGCTAATTTTTTGTATTTTTAGTAGAGATGGGGTTTCACCATGTTGATCAGGATGGTCTCAATCTCTTGACCTCGTGATCCACCCACCTCAGCCTCCCAAAGTGCTGGAATTACAGGTGTGACACACTGCATCTGGCCTTAATTTTTGTAATTTTTTTTTTAAGATGGAGTCTCACTCTATTGCCCAGGCTGGAGTGCAGCGGCACGATCTTGGCTCACTGCAACCTCCACCTCCTGAGTTCAATTGATTCTCCTATCTCAGCCTCCCGAGTAGCTGGGACTACAGGCGCCCGCCACCATGTCTGGCTAATTTTTGTATTTTTAGTAGAGACAGGGTTTTACATATTGGTCAGGCTGATCTCAAACTCCTGACCTTGTAATCCACCCACCACAGTCTTCCAAAGTGCTGGGATTACAGGCATGAGCCACCATGCCTGGCCTTTTTTTTTGAAGATGGATTTTACTCTTGTTGCCCAGGCTGGAGTGCAATGGCACAGTCTCGGCCCACCGCAACCTCTGCCTCCCGGGTTCAAGCAATTCTCCTGCCTCAGCCTCCCAAGTAGCTAGGATTACAGGCATGCGCCACCATGCCCAACTAATTTTTTTATATTTGAGTTTCACCATATTGGCCAGGCTGGTCTCGAACTCTCAACCTCAGGTGATCCACTCACCTCAGCCTCCCAAAGTGCTGGGATTATAGGCATGAGCCACCACGCCCGGCCGGCAGTGATAGATTTGAACTCAGGCAGTCTGGCTCAGGAATCTGCTTACATGTCTGCGCTCACATAAATAGCTCACATTTAGACAAATGACTGCTAAAGCGCATGCTAATAATAAATGCAAATGGAGTGCGTGATTGGCAAGGTGAAGGGTAGCTAGTACTCAACCCCCACTCTGCCCAAATCCACCGTGTAATGCAGCCTCTGCTGGGAAGTGTAAGAGCAAACAGCTCACACGTACTTGTGAAGTGCAAGTTTAGACTATCTTCCAGGAAAGGTGAATTGTCAGGCAGAGGTATTAACTGCAGGGCCTTAGCTCTGACAGGAGATTACTGTTAACAGCAGACGCAACCCGGACTGAAACTGTTCAGTCAGCTAGTACAGTAAGTCCTCACTTAACCTTGTTGACGGGTTCTTGAAAACTGAGACTTTAAGCAAAACAACGTATATATAATGAAACTAATTTTACCATAGGCCAATTGATATAAACTAGAGTTAAGTTTCTACGGCATTTCCAGTCACAAAGACATCGCCAAACTTCTAAATAATGACCCAAAACACTTCTAATATCAAACCTTGAAAAAAATGTGAGCTATGTATACGTTTAAGAAAGAGTAATAAAAACACGAAAAGCAACGAAGAAAATTATTTAACCGGTTAATTTTTAAGCTTTTTGGTCATACAGACTTGGGTTCAAATTTTTGTACCTGCAGTTTGGGAAACAGAAGCAGGCAGATCACTTGAGGTCAGGACTTTGAAACCAGTCTGGCCAACATGGTGAAACCCCATCTCTACTAAAAATACCAAAAATATACACATTGCCAGGCAATGTGTCCAGCACCTGTAATCCCAGCTACATAGGAGGCTGAGGCAGGAGAATTGCTTGAACCCAGCAGGAGGAGATTGCAGTGAGCCGAGATCACACCACTGCACTCCTGCCTGGGTGACAGAGCAAGACTCTGTCTCAAAAAATAAAAATTTAGCCAGGCACGGTGGCTCAAGCCTGTAATCCCAGGACTTTGGGAGGCCGAGGCAGGTGGATCACGAGGTCAAGAGTTTGAGACCATCCTGGTCAACATGGTGAAACCCCGTCTCTACTAAAAATACAAAAAAATTAGCTGGGCATGGTGGCAAGTGCCTGTAATCCCAGCTACTCAGGAGGCTGAGGCAGGAGAATTGCCTGAACCCAGGAGGCAGAGGTTGCGGTGAGCTGAGATCGCGCCATTGCACTCCAGCCTGGGTAACGAGCGAAACTCTGCCTCAAAAAAAAAAAAAAAAAATTTAAAAAGTCACAGACTGGACATGAAGATTACATGATATAATGTATATGAATAGCTTAATACAATGCCAAGCACTTATTATTAACTTAGCATATTGCTAGAAAAGATCTTTTTTTTCTTTTGAGATGGAGTTTTGCTTTTGTTGCCCAGGCTGGAGTGCAATGGCATGATCTCAACTCACTGCAACCTCTGCCTCCCAGATTCGAGTCATTCTCGTGCCTCAGCCTCCCCAGTAGCTGGGATTACAGGCAAGCATAACCACACCCAGCTAAAGTTT